ATGTAATGTTGTGATAGAGTTGTTACATTGTTATTTTTGTTGTTACCTACAGGTTGTAAATATAATTTAAAAAAAAGGTGTTGTTGAAGTAATCTTTGTTAAATGCAGTAGGTACTGTCGCCCCTTGTGTTTCTCTGATACCCTCATACTAAACATCTCATCCTTCCAACTTTCATTCCAATTCTTTTACCATGTCTACGATCAAACCGAGAATTTTCTCTCTGAGTCTATTCGATAATCCCCTTCCCTCGATTCTTTCAAGCGACGTGTCAAGGATCATTGCCTAAATTCTTAAGTTTCATTTTTTCACCCCCATTCCTTTAATTATTTTCTGTGCTTTTATTTTTCCTTCAAACTATATAATTCTACTACAGTGTATTATAAATTATCATGTAATGTATGTAATTATTATCTGTATGTATTTATCAATATTCAGTCTGCACGTATTTATTAAAACTTAATATCTACTGATTTATTTTAAATAAATACTTTTATTAGAAGATATTCTTTGGTTGCTCCCTTTAGTATCTTCTAAAGTTGCGTGTAAGAAATTGCTACTAGCAATAAATCGGCGCGCTTAACATCACTTTATTATTTTTACTTAAATAGCTATTCAGTTCAGTATTATTATTGTAATTTTATGCGCAATATTTATTTTATATTTATTATTAAGGATGAGCTCAAAACTAGCCAAGTGTGCCTCATTTTCCATGTAATGGTATCTATGTATATACACATTCATTTCTGTTTTTTCTTGGTGGGAATAAATAAATGTACTTGTATTTGGAATTGATTACAACAACATTTTATAATCCAAAAGGACGACTTAATACGTATTCTCCTCATAATTCCAACAATACTTAATTGCTCTTTATGGAAACAAAATTATATAAGTAGTTTTTAGTATAAATATTTTTTTATACCTTAATAACATTATGTGCCTCGATATGAAAAGCGGAATTTACTACAAATACCCTACACGTAGATTCTTTTGAGGAAATCTTTTTCTAGTCGATTTATTTCCAGACTAAGGGTAACATATTATAAAGAGCTCTTATCAACTCCGACCGTCATAGTTTACGTGAAAATACTACCTGTGTTTCGGCCCTTCAGTGGTTTATGTGAAAACCAGATATAGCCGGTATTTAATGTTATAATGTCGACCTGAAGTTGTTTTGGGTTGAATGGAAAGGAAAAACTAGTAGAGTATTACGGCAGTCATGTAAAATAAATATAAAAGTTATATGTCTGTTTAAGTTATAGAGACAGATACAATTTCGGTTACGTTAGTTTGTTGATTAATATATACGCATAGGTTATTTTGTATACTCTGGTTTTTTTT